TCTCATCTCGACCAGCGTACGAGTGACCTTAGCTAGCCACTGCTCTACTTCCATGGGGTCTGTTGAATGCCCCCCCCTTAAAATCTTCCACCTTTCTCTTCCAGAACCCTACATAGTCTGGTGGACGTCTCTCTAGTAATGGCATCGGTGGTGTGGGGTGCGGCCCAACACTTGCACGGTAGATGCACAGGGTTTCGTTAGATCTTAGTTATTTCTTCCTAGATATGGTTTAGAGTAGACTGGAGATTCTAAATTCTTAAAAGAAATCATTGACTTGTTTGGCCAAACTTTGACTTGAAATCTTTATAACAAAACCTTTAAAAACTGAGACCGACATTCCAATATTTCTTGGGAACCAAGAAACAGAAGAAGACCGGCTCATATACCAAAATGCAACATCCCACCTCTTTGAATTTTCAAAAAGACATTTCTACCCCGGGGTATAATTAAAAAAATCTCAAATACACAACTTTAAATAAAATACCAAACTCAAATATCTTAATATCTCCAATCGAAGCCCTAAACACGTGGACAAAACTCAAATTGTCCGAAAGAAAATGAATTTCCAATCTTAAAACTCTTAAACATAAAGTCTTAATAACTTGAAAAAGTTCTCCGATGCTTACTCTGACGCCTGGCTCGACATCATTCAGCGACGATTGTGTTGAGCTCCTCTAGCTTGCTGCTCACGGACTGGCTGGTTAGGATTTCCTCCTCTACGATCTGGTGAGTGAGTTGGGGTTAGTCTACGCCCTTATGTTAAAATCTATAATATTTTTAGTACTCTTCTCTAAACACTTAACTTCTACTAGTGGAAGTCATTTTGTACTTCCATTCTTAACAATTTTAACTCATAAAATTCTTCGGGAGTTAAAGTTACTCTCCCTTCTTAAAGCTCAAAACTTGACTTAAATCTTTTGACTGACACGGGGATCCCTCACTAGCTAGTCCGGTTGCCCAACTCATACGTATAAGAAGCCATCCAGGCTTTCCTTAAACTTAAACTTAGTTAGGGGAGTCGTAACGATTCATCCCCCTAACATCTTAAACTTATCGTGGTGGCTCTTTACCAAGATTCTCAAGAGCATAACTGCTGCCCATCTTAAAAGTCTCAAGAGCATAACTGCTGCTCTATCTCAAAATGTCTCAAAAGGCAACGGTCTGGCGCCAGTGACTAAAAACACTTAAAACGACTTCACCTTCTTGAAGGTGAGTTATTTCTTTAAAAATAACTTGTTTCTTAACTTTAACAATAACTTATAAATGGAAAGCTTTAAATTAACTAAGAACTCATGCACATTCACATCAAACATAACTCAAACAAAATCAATATCATCAGCCATAAGCACAATCAAACAACGACAATCACCTCATCAAAATACTTAAGACTTGTAATTCTTGAAAGAACACGTAAGGCGTAGAATTTACCCCCTTTACACTCATCTTGAAAAGATGACTCCTCGATTCCTTACTCAAAGAAATACCTCCTGGCCGAATTATCTCGGTGAACCTATTAATAAGAATGTCATCTCCTTAGTCGACCTTTTTCGATTTAGAATTCCCTTTTGGGTCACTAGAACATCCTCTCCTCAACATCCAGCCCTCGAGACTCGTTACCAAGGTCCCTTAACCGCCTTCAAAATTTTTCTAGAAACAATCCCTTCAAAACCGACCACTTTTCCTAATTATTCTACTCTTGGACTAGTTTTCCTAATTATCAAACCCTTATAAACTCCTCGGAAATATTTTTATTTAATTAAAACGAATGTTCGAACAATTTCTAAAATAAAAAAAAAACATCTTCAAAAATCCCAAATTAAATTACAGCCATCTCCTAGACCTCCCTCTATTTATTAAAATTTTAAAATCAAGAACAAACCTCCATAAAGACTCGAAACAATTTAAACCCTCTAAAATTGGTTTCTGGAAAATTCCCAGCAGGTTTAGTGACCACACAAATTCTGTCACTAAAAGCCTGAACGTCTGTTGCTAAAACCTCAGAATTGCACCCTCACGAAAAATCACCAAATCGATCGATCTAACTCAAAGGGATCGAGTTCCCTTACCTCTAGAACGCGCCTAGGCCTAGGTTGGATGACCCGGGACGTTGATCTCCTCGTTGATCGAACCCTCAACGTCACCGCTAATAAAAATACGAGCTTCGGATTAGACTATCGGTAAATCGAGTTTAGAGATCGCGGGTTCGTGGTCCTTACCTAGAACACGAGAGGGATGGGATCGGGTGCAACTCCTTCTTTCTTCCTCTCCTTTTTCCCAACTCGCGCGGGCGGGAAATTAATTGGCGGCGGTCGATTTGGGGTTTCTCGCTGGGGAAAAGAATGGCAGAGGGAGGCTGGGGAATTGGGGATTATAGAGGGGGTTGGGTTTATTTTCTTGCTTGGGGAACTGGTTAGCAGAGAGGGTCGGGGGAAGGGAATAAAGAGGGCGGCGGGGATAATGGGGTTGTTTGCCGAGGGTTCTGGGGAGCATTGGCGGGCTGGGGGAATTGTTTGTATGGGTGGTGGGCTGGGAAATAAATGAAGGGGCCGCTCGGCCCCAGGTCGGGTCTACACTTTTTTTTAATAATAATAAAATAATAATAGTAATAATAATAATAATAATAATAATTATTATTATTTTTACTAATCCGCGATTGCAACTTTTAGTACGCAACTGTCAATCCAACCGATCACGTATTATGGTCGAACGATAACCCAAAGTTCGGGGTGTTACATAAACAACTCTTCATTTCTGGTTTTTTTTTATAAATCCATTCTTTTTTATTAGTGGCATGTTATTCATAGAGGAGAGCTTTGAACAATTTCTGGATCGTGTGGGAATTCCAATGAGTTTTTATATTATATATTTCTGGACAATCTATTAACCAATATCATTTTAATGGGGGCTCAATTATCATTATGAAAATGAGATTAATGATCCATTTTTATATTCTTAAATGAGGAGGGTATTTCTTTGAATGTTTGACCTATATATTCATTCTTTATGTAACATCTCGATTGAATGATTTTCATTGAATTTAAACGAATTAATAGACTTAAACATAACATAAAAATAGGCCAAGGTACAGGATTGTAAGCTAGTTTTAATAATATTTGCTTTCTGCGTCGTCAGGGTAAACCAAATTGGACGACATTGACTATCATAACTTTCATTATGACTATCAATTTTTTCACCGAACACATTTTCTACATTTTAATGATATTTACTTTCTGCATCAGGGTAAACCAAATTGGAGGACATTGACTATCAGAACTTTGATTATGACTTCTTTTTTGTTTAACTATCAATTCTTTTTTTACTATTTGAGTGTTATATTTTTTCCAAGTAGGATGATTTGTACCTAGGTCTCCGACCCTCTTCTATGGACATATATGGGCAACACCACAAAGAAAATGGTAAGATGGATCGGGGATGAGCTCATGGGATTTTTTTTCCAGAAATAACCATAATAATAACTATGTTTGTAATTCTTACACCACCTCCATATATAATTACACGTAATCCGAACATTCCCAATTTCATGATGCACTAAAATTTAAAATTAATATAACTCTAAAACACCTTCAGAAGAAGCTATCAGAAGAAGCTGCTAAACCAAAGCCATGGATGCCCGGGTCCCAGATCCTGACCGCTCAGCCGACGATGAGTCCAACTCTTCCTTCAACGTCATCAACACCGAGGAAGAACCCTTTTCTTGCTCTCTTAACTATACCAGCAGCATCCCCGCTGCATCTTTTCCATTCGTTTTTGACATATTCAAGAAGGAAGGCCGCCGGAACCAGGATATTAATTTCCTGACCACCCACCTACTTTAGCAGGAGAGCAAGTGCAAGAGCTCAAACTCCCGGCGGCGAAGGCATCGCCTATCTAGTGGTTGAAGTTGCCGACAACTTTTCCCGTATCATCGGCTGATATTTTTGGGAGTTGTAATCTTTAATACCATCTTCTTACTCGGTTTACTTTCCTTTTGCTTGAATGATGAATTTGGGATTGTATTTGTATGACTAGAAGATTTGTAGGCTTCTAAAATAAGATTTGGAACATTGGGCAACTTTTGTTTGAGTTCGCATGATCAACGGAGCAACTCACCAAGAGTAGACTGCTCCCCTCGTAAACGGTTTTAACGAGGGTGTCAAAGATTCCGGTCGTTATTAGCTTCTAACGGCAAAGCCTGTAATGAGGGGAGGCTTACCGTCGTTAATAACTACTAACGATGGGTTTGGGCCTTTTAATGACCGTTTTCACCCTTCGTTAGAACCACTTTTTTTGTAGTGTGAGAGAATATAAAATCTTATCTTTTTTTTTTGGGTTAATACAATATATTAGCCACAACTATTATGAAACGGGGAATTATAGCCACAACTATGAAAATTCAAATTATTAGCCATAACTATTGTTGCAGGTCAAGATATGGCTAACTGTCCGTTACTGTTATTGAATTTTTGACGGAGAATCCCACGTCATCAGCCACGACAGCGGCCAAGTAGGAATGCTTTTAGTTTATAACTTCAAAACATAAAAGTTTAGTCAGTATTACTAACGAAATTGTTAACGGATAGTACTTAACGTTTGGCTAATAATTTGAATTTCAATAGTTGTGGCTATAATTTCCCGCTTCATAATAGTTGTGGCTAATATATTGTATTTACTTTTTTTTTTACCCCAAAAAGCTTATCATAATTTAGATGTACAAGATGACATGCAATTTTTTCATATATTTTTTGAGCAAATACTATAACATTTTTTTTTGGTCATAGATATTTTCAAAAAAGGAAAACAAAAGATATAGAGTAAAAAATATAGTCTTTTCAGGCGAAAAGAAAAAAGAAAGAGACGCTAATCGACCAACCACCAACCAACTATAAGAAAATGTTCTTGCCACGGTATGGACAGCTCTTTAATACCCTATTCGACATGGGCCAAGTCCTTAACTTAATTTCAAGCAAGTACTAGAAAGGTTTGACTGTTGACTTACATGAATGTACATTGCGAGAAAGAGAAAAATTGACACCGAGATTAAGAAGAAGCTTGACTTCGCTTCAAAAGGCAGCCAGCGAATTATTCCTTGCCTCCTTTATTGAACATTTTGGTCTTCTTGTAAGAGCTACAATACAAACTGGCAAGTGATCAAAAGATTGACCCAAATCTCAACAACCTAATGCAGTACATAGCTGACATTTAGTTTTGGACAACCCATAACTTATTACAGCACTTTTGCATATAAAACACACATTTCATTCATCGATCGTGAACAACATTTCAAACCCCACAGTATTCACGCAAGGCATTTGCTGATTTCTGGCCAGCCTCAGTGTCGTAGAACTTAAAAAACTCCACAAAATCATAAGGCTTGAACAACAGCGGATGCTGTTCGTCAACCATTTCATCGGGAGCTTTGACTACGTAGCCAGCTTTTGGGACGACGAATAAACCCAGGGAGTATCTCGTCTCGCTCCTCGACATCGTGACTCGATGAACCGGAGAATGAACTCGTCCATTCAGCCACGCCTGCACAACACAATGAAGCTTAGCTCTCAGGATCGTCGTAGTTTACAAAATGTTACCTCAAGCATAAAGGGCATGGAGGAACGTATACTTACATAAAGAGAATCACCAACTAGAACGAGGAAGGAGGTGGGGCGAGAGAATTGGCACTTAATCCACTGCCCGTCAGCTTTGTTCTTCACTTCCAGTCCGTCCACTCCATTTTGGTACAATATGGTGATCATGTCCTTGTCAGTGTGGGGATGCATTCCTTGTTCTTCGTCACACGTCTGAGCCGCTTTATATTTCATCATCCTCAGCAGGTAAATTGTGGACTTGAGGTGTTCATCCACGTACTTCTCGAGCCCAAAGCTCTCGACGATCATTCTCCTTACCATTTGATCAAGTACCGAAAGCCGTTTTGTGTAGGACACGATGCTCTCGCTGCAAAATCCCAATGGTAGAAATTATAAAGTTGTACAATTACAATAAAGGTACAACAAGCAAAAATTTATAACACCAATACTATATAGCATTGTAAAATTCCTTAGCCGCAGAAGATACCTGAAAGCTGGGTTTCCGTGGGACCAAAGCGACTTGGTTGAGCCGTCAACCTTTTCAAGAACATCGGCATCTTCGATCCCCATGCTTTCGTAGAGCGGAAGGATAGGGTACTGTCCGACATAACCGTGCAACGGTTTCTTGGAGGTGTTCTTTAGTTTGGTCTCCAGAGGCAGGTCGAACAGCTCTTTCACCGACTTAAACACCGCGCTCAGGCTGTCAGCTGGAATCTCGTCGAACGATGCCTCGAAGCATCCATATTCTTCGACTGCTTCACGAACTTGAGACTTGAGGGAGTCCCATTCACGGCTGCCATGTTTCAGCGGCGACGTTTGGGTGAAATCTATCAGCGGAATCTTGAGTGGGGCGACGGCGGCGGTTTCTGAACCCATTAGCTAGCTATCTGATTCAGTAAGCTGAGCGGTAGGGGTGATGATGAGAAGAGGATCGAATAGTGTATAGATGAAAGAAATTCAATCATACAAAATGCACTGTTTCGCAGATTCGCGACCTTGTGTTTTGTGTTGTGTTGCCCATGCCAAAAGGTTAATTTCCTATATATATAAATAGCGAAGAGCATATTTGGTCATTATTGTAATTTCCGCCACCGTGCACATACTCGGCAACATTTATCACCGTACACATCTTTTATATTTTAATATTTGCTCTCTGCATCAAATTTATACAATGGGGGAAATTTTACTGTTACAAGTTGAATTTATTACATAAAAAAATATAAATACAAATTAAATTTGTTTTTATAACATTAAATACAAAAAATCAATTTATATTATAAACACATTTGTACAGAAAAGTATATATATATAAACTAAATTTGTGGCATAAGCTCAATGTGAATGCATGATTTTTTTAAACGCAACATGCCAAATGGATATATTGTAATGTTATATTTTAACTATAACTTTGACTAGAGATTTTGCCTTTTTGTCTCACTAGGATTTTCTTTTATTTGAGTTTTACATTTTGTTCTGATCAAATAAAGCTATAAAGTCATTTATTTGGTCGCTTTCGCTGTTCCATATAAGTCCAATAAAGTTTTCTTTCCCAACTTTGAAATTACTTTATATATGTAATTGTTATGATAACCAAAGTAGAACAACGATTGCCCGGTGAAATCACTAAACTAATTACAATAGCAGTTCAGTTCATTTGAATGGACGGTTAGAATTGACTCAACAGTTTGACATGAAACTAGATGAACAATCTTAATTTGATTGGTCCGCTGGTTCACAATTTTAACCACCAAAAACTAAGAAAAAAAACTTTATCATAAACTAAGATCTTGCAACATCAATCACTAATCTTATTTCAGCTTCATTTTCTTCACTTTCTAGCGTTATTTAGAGTTTTATGTGGTACGCTATAATTGTCACCCTGATTACTGACTGGAATTTAATAAATAAAAATATTTATTGTTTTTGTGAATTAGTTTGAATACTTTGTTTTAACTTTTTGGTTATAAATGATATGGATTTGAATTGTATATGATTAATGATAATTTCACTCCTAAACCACTAATGTTTTCTGGTTTAACATCCGATTCAGTTCTTAAAACATTATTAGTAAAGAATAAACTATCTACAACAAGTAGCTACTAGTTGCCATGGTTTTTTTTTTATGACTCGTTGGGATTTTATTCATCAAAAGCGTTATTGCTACCAACACTCTTGCTAGCTAGGGGAGGTATAAAAACCTTAACTACAAAAACCCAGATCAAACCCACTAAGACAGAGTACTCTGAGCATTCCCGAAGAAGTTCATCCTATCACTTCCTATCACATATACAGTTTCAGATTTGATGGTAAACAGCAGTTCCTGGAAACAACGAGCAGTACCTCCATGCATTCGACGACAACGCTCCCTCCAAATCTGGCTTAACCATGATTGCCATAGAATTTGTCCTGCTTCTGCAGCATCCATGATACCATTTCCTCCCAAGTGTGGATTTGAGGAACCTGCATAGAGGAACTAAATAGCTCATCAATGAGCTGCCTGGTGAAAGGGCAGAGTACAAACAGGTGATTTCTACTCTCTACCCCTCCTCCACAGAACATACTGTCCATCGACCCCAAGTATCCCCATTTTTGCATTTTTTCTTTAGTTTGTATGCTTCCTCTCACTACCAACCAACTAATCAAACGATTGCTACGAATTGCCTTACCTTTTCCACCAATTTACCTTCTGCTGGGTAGGTCTGAGAAGCTCCCACACTTTTTTAATAGAGAATCTTGGCATAGGCAGATTATCAAGCAGTAGAACTCCCTCCCTGATTGAGATAAAGGAAGAGACCCTACTTCTGAGCTTCAGAATTTTAGACCAGTTCCAGGACCCTGATGTGCAGGTGTAGGTCCGGAAACATCTACCTTTCAGTTTGTATTTGCTTATCCATGCCACCCACATAGACCCTCTTGCAGCAGTATCTGCCATATATGCCTCACCACACATGCCTGGTTCCAACTATTCATATCTTTGAATCCCAGGCCACCCTCCTTCTTAGGGAAAGTAAGCTTCTTCCAGGCAACATTTGCTTTCAGCTTCACCCCCTCTTTCCACCCCCCAAATGAAGTTACTACATATTCTCACAACTTCCTTTATAACAACTTTGGGAAGTAGAAAGACAGACATCCAGAATTGACTTAAACTGTACAGAACAATACCAACCAATTCAATTCTCCCTGCATAAGAAAGAGATTTTGCTGTCCAAGAGGTGATTCTAGCCACTATCTTCTCAATAAGAGGCTTACAAGCAGTAAAACTCAGCTTTCCAGATATTAGGGGAACTCCTAAGTAACTGAGAGGGAAATCACCCATCCTATATCCATACCTTTCTGCTCTAATTACCCTCTCCTTTTGAGGTAACCCTCCAAAGAAAATTTCACATTTACTTGGGTTAGACTTCAATCAAGAAATTTTCCTAAACTGATCAAGAATTCTCTGCAACTCCTGGATCCCAAAGTTTGATGCATCCATAAAGACCAGTAGGTCATCAGCAAAGCACAGGTGAGCAAGATTCACTCCCTTACACATTGGATGATAAGGGAATCGACCAGCAGAGGCTGATTTATCAATCAGACAAGTAAAAAGTTCCATAGCAATTGAGAACAAATAAGGAGACAGGGGATCCCCTGTCTATATCCTTTCTAGGCACCCTATCTTGCTCAAAACAGAATTGAATAGCAGCTGTTACCTCAGATCCAATAACTAGCCAAGCATATTGAAAGAATGTTGCAGAGAAGCCATCTGGCCCAGGGCTTTTGTCTCCATCCATGTCAAAGATAACATCCTTAATCTGCTTTGTGAATGGATCACAAGTACCTTCAATCAGGTCATCAACAAGTTTCCATTTAAGCAATCCAGTTATGTACTCATCAGTTTGACCCTCCACCTCAGGGTCTGCACCCAAGTAATTACTGATAAAACCTCACTGCAATTTGAGACATCTCCTCAACCTCATGAATCTTATCCCCTTGCTCATTCTTCAAAACCCTTATAGTACTCCTCTTCTGCCTAGAACGAATAGATCTATGGAAATAGGTTGAGTTCATATCCCCAGTTTTCAACAAGGTTTCCCTTGATTTTTGATGAAGGAAAGATTCCTCAGCATGAATCAAGACCCTTAACTCCTGCTCAAGCCTAGCCAACTTACCAAAACTATCAATAGAAGGATCAGTCAACGCCTGCTGCTGCACAAGATGAACTTCAGATTCCTTCTCTTTGACACGTTCCCTCAAATCAGAGTACTCCTCCCTGTTAAGCTTCCTCAACAGATTCTTCAAATTCTTCAACTTCCTCAACAAGATCATTAATCCACTCATGAAACTCAGTCATACTAGGATCCACTCTAGGAGAATTTGAAGCCTCTGAGGGATTCCTAACATCATTAAAATCTAGGATAGCAACTATATCTATATTGTACTTATTTATTTTCTTTAGTAAAGCTGTGTATTTACCTACTGCTTTAAACCCTCTAGTGTTCCAGGTAAGGATTCTCATCTATTACATCACACTTTCACACCTTTACCTCCTCTCCTTGGTTGAAAAGGAACCAAGGGAGAGTCCACCCATATTCTCTTTCCTCTATGAATAGGAGGCTGCATATTTTCTTTGCCACTCCTGTCCCCCTGAACTATCTGAGGTCGAAAGCTCACAGGAATTGGTGACTTACTCCCAACAGAATCCTGCTCACCAGCAATAGAATTCCCACCCCCAGGTGGTGACCCCATTACTATCTGAGCAAAGCTCAGAGGAGAACTCGCATTTGAAGAGGGAGCTTGGACGTTAGCATCCTCTTCTATCACTCTAGACTCCCCATCCGGAGGGGCTTCCTCCCCACCCTTATCTATCTCCTTCCCTTCTGCATCATCAATATTTCCAATAACCAGTGTCATTAGCTCTTCGTGCTGGTCCTCAACGACCTTAGTACTATGAAGCTCTTCCCCACCCTTGTCAACTACCTCATTTGCAATTCCTTCTACCTGGCTTATATCTGAAGATACTAGACCATTCTGCTGTAACCCCTCTATCTCATTCTCCTTAGCCCGCCACTGCTGCACAAGCTCTTGATCACAATAATGCCCAAATAAACAACACTTCGAACAAACTCTCGGTAATTGCAAATACTCCAAACCAATTTCAAAATCGGGGTCATTATCAGGATAGAAACGAACCTTCCTAGGGAACCCACAGTCTGCTGCTAGCTCAATGCAAATTTTTGAGAATCCCAATTGAGCACCAACCCTAGTTTTCTGATCAGTCCAGAGCGGCTTACCCACAACACTAGCGACCCATTCAACTCCATCACTTCCCAGATACTCTAGAGGCAATCCCCTGATCGTAACCCAAATTGGAAGTGTTGCAACCTTCGACTCCACCGGCTAAATCCCCACCTCCCACTTCCTAAAGAATATCGGATTACCCTTGAAATGCTAAGGTCCCGAAGTAAAAACCCAATCACACGAAGAAGAGGAGGGGAACTGAAATACCAACAGCTTCGGACCAAATCGCGAGACACGAACAAGACCATCCCTCCCCCATAGCTTGTTAGCCCAAGACTAGAGCTCTGCAACCTCCGGACGTTTCCCAACGAACTGACCCACTAGTGAATCCTTCCATTGTTCAGCGCCCTTCTCCTTTACCTCCTTCGGGATGCGAAAACCATCCTTGACCTTCTCAGGGGGACGGAAGGTGAGCCTCTTGCCAGGAGCCACCGCAAATAGGCTCGCCCAGGAAGAGCCCTCGCCAGCCAGAGTGGCCAACGGCGAGGCGGCTATCGCCCGATTAGGTTTCCTTCAGAGAGCAAAAAGGAGAGAGAAAAGAAGAGAAGAGACGTTTAGTTGCCATGGGTTATTGATTACATATCATGTATAACTTTTTCGCGAGGCTATATTTCTTTGTTTTACGTCGGAATTAAAATATTTTTTATAAAAATATAATATTAATAGTAATCTTCAAAGTGACATCTTGATATATTT